CATATGGGAAAACATCAAGGTAGAAATGGTTCTAAAGAAGAGGGAGGCAAGTTCTGCAATTATCTTGGTCAATAGACTGGGAGAACTGAAATTGACTAGCTGCTAGATAATGATTTCTTGCTATACATGGAATAAAAGAAGTGAATAAAACTGACAAATATAAGGAAACTATCAAAAGTTGCTGAACTAGATAGATATTTGTTTTGATCAGTGACTAGATGCTGAGCTAGATTATTATTTTCCAGATGCCACAAAGTAGGGATACTCTGGATTCTGTTTTAGAATGCTGATGGAAGTAGAACAATGCTACTACAACCCATGTTATCAAATTAAATGTAACAAAATACTGCTCTCCTTTTGGAAAAGTTTTTTTCCCTCAAAACACAGAAAGTGGAGGAAATCATCTGTAAAAAAATGCTGATGAACAAGGTGAGCAAAATGTAGAGGCATGCTGGTGATCAGAAGGGAAGGAGGATGCCTGTAACTCACAATGTTACCCAAGCACATCTCGGCTTATAGTTAGAACAGATCTCCTGATCTAGCCTCTAAAATAATGGCTGATAAAGCATTAGATATAATAATAACAGCAGCAGGTACAAATTTATAAGTGGTCTGAGAACAATGGAAAAGTTATACATTCCAAAGAAATATAAACACAAGAATGGTTGAAAACAAAACAAAAAATATGTGCTGGTTTTCCTTCAAAGCATTACACATTTACATTTCATGGGATGTAATAAGTGATGCTAACACTGTGTTGTTGGGGAGGAAACTGTTTTATATAGGTATTCTCTGCTTACTGACAACTCAGGGAGATTCAAATCACAGACCGAGAATGAGATCAGACCTGTTTAGGAAGACTGGGGTTGTCAGTACCACACGTGGTTCAGTGGTAATACACAAGAGAGGGCAAGACTGTCTCTCAAAGTGAATTGTCTGGTCAAAGTGGATTGCAGCTGTTCTGTATAAACCTTGCTGTAACCTCTTGTAATTTATTGGGGATTTTAATGTATTATTATTACTGGGGAAATGGAAACCTTAGCATATTCCAACTGCCAGCCGTAGTTCTCTGGCTTTGGCACGAAAGGAAGTGTTTTGTTTTGTTTTTTCACTTCAGAGGAGATCAGATCGGATTTTGTATTAGGATGATTAGGGACTGAAACAGATGTTGGATATTTCGTTTAAGACATAGTGGATTGTTTCTACCCTCAGAAACAGTTAGATTCCCTTATTTAAATCCTCAGAGCCTCACTTCTATTTTGATGCTCCATCTTGGAGGAACAGCAGCCTTTGGAGAAACGACGCACTGTTTAAAAAAAAGCTTCTGCTCCGAAGAGGAAAAGAGGGAAAACGTTCTAGTACCACGCTCGGGGCAATTGCTTCGATCCTGCCTTCCTGTTTTTCATCACTAAAAATATTTGAGTATCCTGTAAACCGCCGGCAATTCCCTCCCCCTTCTCCAACTTGTCTGAGCCCAAGTTTTGCGCACCATTTACTATCATTTTCTCTGCCGCAAAGTAAAAAAGAACTGGGAAGTGTGAAATAGGGCAAGGTGGTTCTTGCCATTCACCGTGAAGCCTGGGTTTTGTTACGCATAGCTAATTTTTCTTCCTCAAGCCTTGGGACGCCTCTTTTTGACTGATCTACTCTCCATCCTTGGAAAACGGCACTTGCTTTTGTATTGGATAAACATCCTTCAACCTTATTATTGACTGCATATCTGCCTCAGAATGAGGAGCATAAGAAGACCAGGATCTTCACTGATACTTCTTCCACCAGAGCCTGGAGTTGCCCCTCCTTCCCTTGCGGCGTGCATCGGCCACTGATTCTGCTACGTGTTGTGCAAGAGCAAGCAGACTGTTGCCATTGGTTACTGCCTGGGCCTTTGCGTTCCATTCTCGCAGCCGCGTCTAAGCTCGGGTTGTGCGGATTCTTTTCTTCTTCCCATAGGTTTGTGGCTCCCCCAAGAAGCCTTGCAGTGAGGAGTGGGTGATGGTGGTAGGCACGAGCAAGCTTCGCCAGGGAACTTTGCAAGCGGAACAGGCTCGGTGAGTTTCATCCATTTCTGCAATGCAAATAATTCTAGGATCAGAAAAAGTGCAATCTGGATTTTATTTTCAGATAATGTTACTGTTTTACCAAGAGGAAGAAGGACAGCTATATAACAAGTCCTGCAATAAGATTTATGCGCGGGCCCTTCCGACAGCGTACTCTTAATTGCTCACTGACTTTCCAGTCCTGGCAGAGAATGACTCCGGAAGAGCGGGCTGGAGACGGAGCTCTAATGGAGTGATGAACCTGTAGGTATTTATAGCGCCCACCGCTTTAAATATCTACGTGAAAATGTGGGATGAGATCCTTTGAGCTTGGTATCTTAGTTAGGATATTACGGTTATCCAATTTATGAAGTCAAACGTGGAATGTCCACCTGAGGTGAGATCAGAAAATCGGTACTGTACACTATTACTAAACATAGGTGGTGAGTCTAAGTGGCAGCAGTAACCAAGATGGCATGTGATTTCAACAGTAGCTTTGCTGTTTTGGAAGTCCTACTAAGGCCGGTATTTTAGGCACTCCTATTGGTGATTCAAGATAGGAATGGACTTTGTTTTTTTTTTAACTAGAGGCTAGTTTGTCAGTTTGGTCTTGTATGTTGTGTATCTGCTGGACCTATTACAGTACTGCATTCATTGCTACAGGCACTATAATGTGCTTCCCGATAATTTAATTTTACTTCTTCGGTTATTGAACTATTTTTCCAAGTCATTTTTCAGTTTTCTTCAGGAGTTGCAATTATATATGTGTGGGGGAAGGAGGAAGATAAAATCAACAAAATGTGGCTTGCATCATAACACTCTGCCTGCCACCTCCTTTGTATGTATGTGTGCCATTTCATGAATGCTCCAAACAGACAAATCCCACATTGTAGCGCTCCATCCTCATCTTGCTGAAAAATCTTGCTGAGATTTTTGACTTTCCTCTCTTTTAAATTCCACTATCTAGAAGCCTAATTCAAAGGAACATTTTTTTTCCATACAGCCTTTTCATAATAGTGATCCTTAGACATAAAACCTTTCTTAGACATAAAACCATGGCTTGAATCAATTTGATTCATTTAAGACACCTGGCTAAAAAAAGAAAAAAAGATGAGCTTTAGCCCATCATAGGCAAGAAAACTGGCTGGGTTACTCAGGACCAATTTCTCTTAGTCCAACTCACATTGCAGGGTATTGTTGTGGGGCAGATAGGAAGGAGTATTAGGTATGTTCCCCCTCTTGAGTTATTTATTAAAAAATAGGTGGGATAAAAAAATCTAAACCAAATATACATATCTTGTTTGTATAATGCTTATTTTCAACCGTAATTGGGATTTTATTAAGGGAGATAATAGAGACGCCCTTCCCATGAAAAATCTAAAACTGTACTTTTGCAATCCTTTCAAGATTGATAAAAAGGCACACATTGCTAGACATTTTGAATTGCATATTGCTGAAGTTTTAACTTTTATCCCATAATTTTATTATATATTGCTGGCAGCAGATTGATATTCAGTTTTTATTTTTTTATTTGAAGTGCCTTTGAAATGACATACATTTAAACATATGTAAAACATTTGTATTTCTAAAGCAGCTGCTGCCCTGTGAGAGTACAGTCAGACTAAATCAGAATTGTTGGAAGTGACAAAAGGGATCTCAGATGGATTAACACATTTTCCACCCAGGCTTTACCTATATCTTTGTAGGATATATGAAGCATAGTTTACTTGCTTTTCCCCATAATAGTGTGATTTTATGATGAACTTGCAGAGTCTCATCTATTTGTTTTATAATTTAGGATTCTTTTTAATGTCCTTAATTTTTTCATTGTAAATTCTCCTCAGCATTATTTTAATTAAACAAAGGATATAAATATTGAATGTAAATACAAAATATGACATAATATTTGCATTGTGAACACATGGTATTTGTAAAACTAATGAAGCTGAACCAAATAAAGTCAATGGGACATTATAATTTGTTCCATTTATTTCATTGTGTTAAGATCAGCCCATTGAAGTGAACAAGGTAGAAACATTTTTTCCCCTTCAATAGAGAGCTTAAAACATATTTCAATTCTAGTTTAGTTCATTAAATGTTCAACTCCTATTGGCAAGTGTCTATAATTATACCATTATGTTTTCCTCATATACTCATCCCTTGAATATTTTTTTCCTTGCAAAGTGAAGATTAGTGATATCTATTACCCTTGTATGTTTTTAAATCAACTTTATTTAAATGAGTATATTTGTGTTGCTAGTGACTTTTAAAATAATTGATTTCCCTATTAAATACTAAGCATAAAAGTTTGAGTCCTAGCCAACAATGTTAATTACTTCCTCTTTTAAATATAATTTTTCTGAAATAAGTGCTTTTTCAAAAATAAGCACAATACACAATACAATTTTGAAAGAGAAAATAAGGAAAATGAAACTAATAAGGGGGAAAAGTACAAAGAAAGAAAAAGAAAAAAGAAATAAAAGAAAAAGTTATAAAGAAGTGGTTTCTGGTCTTCTCAAATAGGAATTACAAGTTACATTTATATTTTTTAGTAACAGAAAGGTTGTGCTCTTCTAGTTCTAAATTTTTCTTATTTTTCAGCAGTACCCACTTCTTCATCCAAACCAAGCAACAGGCTACAAAATACAATTTCAAATCAGGCTGTCCTCATTTCTTGGCATCTTATAGGATTTTATACTTAACCCTTGGCTGTTCTCTACAATATTAACTGCTTTTCTTATAAGGATATAATGTACTCTGTGAAGCCTCTACTCTGAGAAACTTACTGTGATAATTGCTTAGAAGGTAATATATTGATCCCTAATGAAAAACTGAAATATTATGAGCAAAAGAACGAATAATTGATACTGGGACATATACAGTCTATTGCTTAAATGTGTATATTAACTAATGTACACTGGGTATTAATTGTGTACTATAAACAACCCATTTGTTTGAATACAGATGGAAAAATATGAGATCCTTGGACTTGTGGGAGAAGGAAGTTATGGAATGGTGATGAAATGCAGAAACAAGGAGAATGGCAGAGTTGTTGCCATTAAAAAATTTTTGGAAAGTGAAGATGATAAAATGGTTAAAAAAATTGCCCTGAGAGAAATAAAATTTCTCAAGGTAAGATAATGGCTGATAAGTTCATATTTCTAAATCTGTAGTGCCCTGTCACATATAAATATATATGTAATTTTGTAGACCTTTCGTCTTTGCTATAATGTTATTCTTGACGTTTATTAAAAAAAAATTAAAACACAGGAGATGGCAGAGATAAAGTAACACCAAAGAGATGTGTGCAAATACAATTATTTATGTTTAGTTTTAGATTGATTTCATATGTCTGATTTCCATTGGCTAGATTCCCAGAACAAAAAATCCATAATAATTTATTAACCATAATTGTTATAATCCAAACTACTTGATGATTAATATGTAGTGTGAATTGGGCTCCAGCATGTTAAATATTAAACAAAAGGTATATAGAAAACTGTTCTTAGAGAAAAGGAAATTAGTATTACTAGAGGGAATTACAAGCATAACAGTAAGAATGAATAAGGAAGAACTAGTTAGTAGAAAATACATCATTTATTCAACGAAAAAGAATAAATTTTAAAAAGCTGGGTTTTGTTTGGTCTTTAGGTAATTACTAAGATATGATTTTATTGCTGTAGACTAGAGTTATTAGCTAGTTAGAAAAAAAGATTGTAATTTCTCTTTACTATATTATCACTGAGTTCTAATGTTTAGAGAAATCTAATATTTAGAAAATGAAATCATTTAAAAATATGTATTATTTTATATTAAATTGTATAACCTTATTGTCATGGCCTAGAAATAGGGCATAGAATTAAACAAGTATTTAACTTTGTTCTATCAATTAGACTTTGCTGAATAAATAAATGGGAGAAAATTTCCACCTTTATGGATTAATCTCTGAAAAAAATAGTGTACTTTGGTTGTAATGGATTGTTGAGTTAAATTGTTTATACAGTGATAGGGAAAAGAGATTGTGTAAATAATGAGACTATAATAATTTGTGAATATTAGTAATCGTTAGTACTGTTACTTAGTAATCATGCATAGAACAGGACAGTATTTGGAAGTATTTATATGGTTTACTTAATGATGTACATATTATTCAAGAGGCAATTATTGTGAATGTTCTCATGCAACACACTGTCTCCTATTGTAGTTTTATGACGTACTTCATGTCTCCTGATAGCAATTAAGGCATGACAACTTGGTGAATTTGCTGGAAGTCTGCAAGAAGAAAAAACGATGGTATCTGGTGTTTGAATTTGTAGATCACACAATCCTTGATGATCTTGAGATGTTTCCCAATGGCTTGGATTATAACAGAGTTCGAAAATACTTATTTCAAATTATAAAAGGGGTAGGATTTTGTCATAGTCATAATGTAAGTACATTGCTGCATCTGTTTGAGTTTGTTTGTCTATTTTCTTGTTAGGATATTTGAGAGAGATGCTAGCTTCATACCTCAGAATAAATTTACATTTGTAATAATTTATAATATTCCAATAATTGTATTTTCATGTTTCTTACATACAGCTATGAAACTATATGCTATCTAATGAAAACAAACTGCCTTTTTTGATTTCTATTCTTTGTGGAAGTGACATGTTTGTATCATGTTTTTCCCCATTAATTGGTGATGTAATAGTTGCTTCAAGGTTAGTATGCAAAGCTATTATTTCAAAGGCAAGGATATATTATTATGCTTGTGTTAATATTTTCTGAACATTCTGCAGGTTTATCACTTGTATGCTCATATAGAGTGAGTAAAAATTTACATGTTCTTCTTTTGGGATAGCGCAATATTGCACAGTTATGGAAATGGAGAGAGTTCTTTAACAGACATTTTATTGTATTTTTTTTATTTCTAGAAAAATATCCTTTTAAAAAAATAATTCAATGTGTGGAGATATAACATCACGGACCATCCATTTTCCAGTACAGTTTCTCACATTCCATTTGTCAAACAATGAGAATGTGAAGTAGGCTATCCTCTTTAGATTAGTCTGAAGAACGTAGATGTTTTCTATGGATGGTTTTCCATGATGGGTTTATAGTGACTTTGCTAACATGGATATGAATCCTTTTTTTAGATCATACACAGGGATATTAAACCTGAAAACATATTGGTCTCCTGTTCAGGAATTATCAAACTCTGTGATTTTGGATTTGCTCGAATGCTGGCCGCTCCTGGTGAAGTTTATACAGATTATGTGGCAACACGGTGGTATCGAGCTCCTGAGCTGTTAGTTGGTGATACCAAATATGGCAAGTAAGGAAATATAGAATAATTCAATATTAAGATAGTCTTAGATGTTTAAAAATATTTTTATTTTATTCAAAACAAAGTTAGAATACAAAACTCAATAAAAATCCAAGAAGACATAAAAGAAAAGAAAAAAACACAAAACAGAACATTAAAAAGGGTGCATCAAAAATAACATACACAAATTATCCCCTCTAGTTGAATACTGATTAATATATTACTACAATTAATTCCTACCCCTTGTGAAACAGGCTCTCCCCCAAATTTTAAACTATTAAATCTATTAGCAACTTGTTGACCTGTGTTCTATATGTTATATTAGTGACAAAGTAGTTAACTGGAAAAATAATTAAAGCACAAAATTAAAGTTTCAAATCTTTATGTTAACAAGCTGTTGTTATAATCCACTCATAGAAAATTTACCACTGTATCTTAGCTATCCAAGATAAATAGATAAAAAGTTATAAAGAGATTGTCCTAGGTCAAAAATCCATGTTTATTTCTTAATATCCTCTTGTCAATTGTGGTTTAATTAAATGTAAATTCGGTCTCCATAGTATGTCAATCTTTGAATCAGAGTGCAAGCAGATCATGGTTACACTTAAGTGCTCCCTTCAAAACCAGGAAGCAGCACTGTCAAAGTACCAATTTTAGCAGTGAAATCAGTAGATCGTTGATAAGAGGGGGGGAAAATCCACAGTGAACAGGAGCCATTTTGAAAAGAGGGCCAAAATTTTCTTAGCTTTTTTTTAAATACATTTACAAGGAAAAGGAAATTAATGGATATGATGAATTGTAGCTTAAGCAGAAACTTAAAAGTACTATTATTATTTTAATATACACTCTGTAGAAAATCAAATAGAATAAACTTCTTTTTCTATTGTCACAAATAGGCAATTAAGGTAGAGCTAGTTCTGCATAAGTATGTTTTATTTGCAGGGCTGTTGATGTCTGGGCCATTGGCTGCCTGGTAACTGAAATGCTTACAGGAGAGCCCCTTTTCCCTGGAGATTCTGATATTGACCAATTATACCATATTATGAAAAGTCTAGGTAAGAATGCATCCTGCCTTTTTGTGTATGTTTTTATCTGTCTGGCTAGCTAGCTAGTTATTCATTTTTTTGTAAGATTATACTTTTAAAGTCTTGTTATTGATATAAACGATTATAAATTTTAGGAAACTTAATTCCAAAGCACCAGGAGTTATTCTACAAAAATCCTCTCTTTGCTGGAGTGAGATTGCCTGAAATCAAAGAGTTAGAACCTCTTGAAAAACGATACTCAAAGCTCTCCATTGCAGTCATAGAATTTGCAAAGGTAATTTTGAGGTCTCCTATCTTTCTAGTCTGTTCCTATTAACAGAATCATGCCTTTAGGAATCTTCAAGTTTCTGTGAAATTGAATATTGATAAGAAAACCAATCATTTCAATATCAGTGATCTTTTCCCAAACTCACACGACTGCTTTAGAAACTGTTCCTAGCTATCTTAGTAGGTAGGCATATGTCCTCCTATTTAGCTTTTCAGGTGAAAAAAAAGCAAAATTAATTAATTATGTATGTATGTATGTATGTATCTTTGGTTATTCGGGTTTTCTCCCGCGTAAAATTGGAAGTATCTAGGCGACGTTTCGATGAAGTCTCATTCATCATCTTCAGGCTTTGTGCTTCTCAGAATAATGTGAACTTGCAGCTGCTTCTTCCTTTTAACTGCTAGTGAGGGTGTGACTTGATTGGGTGGGGGCTTGGCTGTGTTCTGATTGGGTGGGGGTGTGTTTTCATTGGTTGGGGGTTGGCTGTGTTCTGATTGTTCTGACATGACCACAGACCAGAAGCCGCACCGCGGCTGCATCACTACCCGCTTCAAACCCCTCCGACCCATACATGAAGCGAACTGACGCCCACCATGAAGATGCGGCACGACCACGAACGCGAAGCCAAACAGCAGGATCACAGCTCACCAGCTCAAATCCCCCAGCAACTAAGACTAACCTGAGCACAACCAAGCCCCCACCTGAACAGAACACACCCCCACCAATCAGAACACAGCCAAGCCCCCACCCAATCAAATCACACCCTCACTAGCAGTTAAAAGGAAGAAGCAGCTGCAAGTTCACATTACTCTGAGAAGCACAAAGCCGAAGACACAAGCCTGAAGATGATGAATGAGACTTCATCAAAACGTCACCTAGATACTTCCAATTTTACGCAGGAGAAAACCCGAATAACCAAAGATACACACACACACACACACACACACACACACACACACACACATGAAAACAATTGAGAGAGCCTTCCAAAGAAGCCAGATATCTAGTCCTCAGTTTAGCAATCATTCAGAGATATTACAGACCCCTTAAAAGCTACTTATGACCCAGTTTCAAAGTTAGGGCCGCTGCGGCATTCTTACATTTGTCCTTACAACCAAATGCAGGGATGCTGCAGCTTCCCTCCCCCACCCCCCCACCCCCCAGCCTATCTCTCCCACCAGGTTGCTGCAAGCCTTGAATCTGTTTTCCACCTCACCAGAGCCCATCCACCTTCAATTGCGCCAGTCGGTGACTCTGGACTGCTTGGTTCCATTCCAGAAGTGTGTGCCATTTTCCACGTGCCATTATGAAACAGCACCTTAGTTGCTCCTGCCAGTGGTTTCCCTCCCACCATTTCGCTCCCAGAGAGGGAGCTCTCTTTCTCTCTGCTGGGCAGCCCCACTTTCTTTTGAACTGCTAGCCCCTTGGACAGCGTGGCCACACAACAGAAAGGGAGCTCCCTCATCAGCCACAGTCACCGGCAACTGCAGACAAGTAAGATTGGGACCTGAGTAGTAGAGATGAGGGGCTAAACCCAACCTTGGCAGTGGTGGGGGTGGCGATGGCGGGGGGTTGAACAAAGACTTGGGTAAGTGTTCTGTGGTATGGAGAGTCACCAGTAAGAGGGAAATCACCAATGGGACAGTTTGATTGCTGTTGCTGTGTGTGAAGAAAGGCTTAGCCTTAGATTGAAGTGGCTTTAATGGCTGCTCCATTCCTGGGATCTGCCTGCTTTCTGCCTTCCTGTCTCTGCCTTCCCCTTCCTGACTGAGGCCGGGCTGGGGTGCTGCCTTCCCATTCTAGGACAGACTGGGCTTCTTTCCCAGTTTTCTTGCATTTGAGCTGTACTTCAGCATACTGTCCAACTCGCGCAAATCCAGTGCCAGTCCTCCTCTGCATCCCCACAGCACCTTGTGCTAGGACATTTGCTTAATGACCCATACATTCAGTTAGTGACTACTGTAGTCCCCAGTTAGTGACTACAATTGGTATGGTTGATTTTGGAGTCTTTGAACGAAACAGTCTCACTTCACTGTCTCACTTAACAACAATTTGTAACTTTAATGGGCAGATTCCATTATACTTGTACGATTAGGACTACCTGTACAATAGAGAAACATCTCTATTTTCTTTTTTTAAAAAACAGATGTTAACCTGCATTCTGAATGACTTTTTAGAGGACTTTTTCAGTCTTTCCAGTATTAATTTCTTGGTTCAAGTGACGGCTTAAAACTTTTGGAATATCTTGACACAACTTAGCTATAATGTCTTTGCCTCCTCTTCTTTGAGTGATTGCTCACTTGTTTTATTGAATTAGATTTCCTGCTTTTATTATTTTTAAAAAATAACTCAAGGTGGCAAACATACGTAATATTCCTCCCTCCTTGTATTTCCTCTATAACATCTCTATGATGTGGGTTAGACTGAAGGGAGGGTGTCTGACCCAAAGACACTTAGCCAGCTTTCATGCCTCAAGTGGAATTAGAATTTTCTCAGTTTTGTACTATTTTCAATATCCATTTTATATTTTGTGATGTGATGTCCTAATTTCAGATATAGAACTTCCTGGCAATATTGTGATTAGATTTGTATGATTACCCTCTGAATATATCCTGTAAAATGTTAGCTTACTTTACTTCATTTAATTACAAAAGTACAAAAGACTAGTTTAGATCTAGAAGACTGGAGTGTTCAATGGAATTTTTGACATTTTAGCTTCTGCCATTACTCCCCTCCATTTCCACTATATTGTATACCTTTTGCTGTCCCTCTGCTTCAGAAATGGTTTGCTGTATAATATGAAAGGGATTTCATAAAATCCAGGCTAAATTCTTCTTATGTAGATTAGATGTACTGATACTGTGTTTTGTTTAATAGAGCTTGGATCATTTTGTTTGATTCCATTGTGTTTAACCAGTTAAAGTTTTAATCTTACTTCAGCAATGCCTGCAAACTAATCCAGAAAAGAGGCCGTCTTGTAATGAACTGCTGCAATGCAACCTCTTTAGCAAAGATGGGTTTGCTGAAAGGTGAGTTTCCTGATTTTATCAAAGTACTTGTTAAAAAGAAAGAATGCTGAGAAGTTCTATGTATATAATACATTCTCCTTTTAGCATATATGAAGATGGAACTAGACATTGTTGACTTCTGGAGCTGCAAAAGACTTACATAGTGTCACTAAGTGAAAATCATGGATGGGAATAATGACACTTCTTATCTGCTTCTTTTTCTGCTGCTACGTTCTCAGAAAAACGATTACAGATTTGGTCTAATTACAACTCAGGAAAACAAAGTGGTATAGGGCATGATCTGGCCCAGCTAATTCTTCATTGCAGAAGAATTTTACTTCTTTCCATTTCCTGTACCAAATGCAAACTAGTTGCTCCTTGTTTGCTATCAAATGGTTAGTGCCAGTAATATATTACTAACCAGAACAAGACCCCTAATTTATTGTAATAGGAAGTGACATTTCAAATGAGGCTTAATTCACATTAGAGACTGCCCCTTCTCACATCTATTTAACTCACATTGGCTTATCTTTTAGACTTATGTGTGTTTATTACATAAGTCTGTGTTCATAAACATAGAGTTTATGAACAATTGAACAATATAAAACTCAGTGTTTATGTATGGTAGTTTCTCTGTACAGAGATAATTTTTTAAAATGTTCTTGCTGATTTCTTGGAATGTGCTTTTAGTGGAAATCTATGTGTGAAAATCTTAATGTATTTGATCTGAGTCTATAACTAGCATTAATTAAAAAATAAATGGAGATTGGGCAAGAGTGAAAAAGACATGATATTAAACCCACACAGGTAGTTCTTAAGATATAGCTATAATGGAACTTGCCTCTTATAGTCACATGTCATGATGGTCATTAAGAGAGATGACCATGCTTAATGACCTCTGCCCCTTGCTCTACCTGGTGCAGTTGTTAAGATGCAGATTGATAAGTAGATCACAGGCGTCTTGGGTATGGGAGGCCCTGAAATGGTAAGCACAGGCCCACTTGCCCCAAATATGATGATTCCCTCAGGCACCAGCTCAAATGATGATGAAGAGCTGGCTCCCTCCAGTCAGTTGTAAGGATGAATAATCACTGGGATGCTGCAGCAACTGTAACTTTGAAATGAGTAGCTTTAGGGATAGACTGCAATAACTGAATAGTTGCTAAGTGATCAGTTGTATCTTGAGGACTACCTGTAATTTTTAATCTCTTTTTTTGTATTCTAGTCAATTTATTTATTTCAGTTTTGATCCACGAATAAAAACTTTGCAACATAGGATTGCAAACATCTGTTGAAATAATAGTATAATGTAAAATAAAAATAAGCTTTATTATTAACTTTAGTAGACAGATTTAAACAGAAACACAAAAACATAACACACCAAGCAAGATGATAACAAATATCCACTCAGTTATCAGGAACCCCTGTAGAATGATAGCAGAGAAACCCCAAGATGGCCATTGTACAGAGCACTCAGCACTAGGTCTGCATCAAAGTGTATAGCTTTGTAGAGTTTTATGAGGTCCTTTACGCTCTAAGCTTGGTTGTTTGCGTGCAGTTTCATTATCTGAATGGATAACAATCATTAATACACACAAGCTCAGAGAGCATCAAGGACTCCATAGTTCAGTGTGAGTCACATATATTGTCCTATATTTTTCCTTAGACCTGTTTAAATGGCAGTTTTATTTGTTATCTCATTGTACTTCTAGTTACATCAAGAAATGATAAATAAAAGACATAAGACATAAGAATTTATTTGTCATTACACTCGCTAGCGGGTGCAACGAAATGAGGTGCTCTTCCACAAAGTAAAACTGGACAAACACCACTAAAAGAAAAAAATTGAACTAAACACAACCAACCATACAATAATCTCTATGCAATTTAAAAATGTAAATACCCCATTACTCTCAGCCATTTAAATTCCACAAAAATCTTATGACCCTGCATTCAAACTCAAAACTGCACTCAAAACTGCCAGTATTTCCAGAACTATATTGAAATGTCTTTTCTTACCAACATGGTAAAGATATTTTTAATTTATATTTTTTGAAAATATTGAATAACAACAAAAATATAAGAGAAGGGGTTTTAAATGTGAATGTGTGATGAGTAAATGCTTTTGCTTATTAAATAAAAGTTTCATTTTTATGTTTTCATTTTAATGTGAAACATAAGATTTGTTCAAGAATTTAAAATCAAGATTCAAAAGGAAAAAGAACACTCTCTACCCAAGAAATCAAAAACAAATAAGAAGGACAAAGATGATATAGGTGATGAAAGAAAAATGCTTTTAATCCAGGTTTGTGGAACTCAGGATTTTTTCCCTTCTTTACAATTTTATATGAATATATGTATAAAAATGATTTTAAAGCCAAATTTAATCTGTGCCTATGAAAAATTATTCTTCATTGTTTGAGATGGGACTGTCAGAATGTAACATTCTAAGAGCTTTCCTATTAGAAATCGTGCAGTTTTACTGCATACTGCATATTTGCATACAAACCCTGTTCTCTCCATTAATTACATAGCATCCTATTTTAAATGCAATGTTCTCTGAAATCCTTCTTTCTTTATTTTTTTAGTTATATATTTTATTTATTCAAGACAAGATTAAAATACAAAGTATGAAATTCCCCCCCCCAAAAAAAAATCTAAAAGAAGACAAAAACAAAACAAAACAAAAGTAAAAAACATGATCAAAAATATTAAAAAGATACATCAAAAAAACATACACATATTATCTCCTCTAGTTGAATACGGATTAATACTTTACTACTATATTAATATCCACCACTTGCAAAAGAGGCCATCCCAAATTTTTTAAACTACTAAATCTATTTGCAAATTATTGACCCGTCGTCTACTATATGCTATAATAGTGACAAAGTAGTTAACAGGAACAATAATAGTACTATAACAAAACAAAATTAAAGTTTCAAAACTCTCTGTTAACAAACTTCTGTTGTAATCATAGAAGGTTTACAGTGGCATGTTATCTATTCCAAGTCATCCCAAAAGTTATAAATAGTTCATCCTGGATCAAATATCCATGTTTGTTTCTTAATTCCATTTCTTATCAATTGTTTCATTAAATATAATAGATTCAGTCTCCAGAATAAGTCTATCTTCCAGTCAAAGTCCAAGTAGAAGTGATACCAGTTACCGTATATTTCGCGCTATAAGATGCACTTTTCCACCTCTCAGAAGTGGGGAAAATGTCTGTGTGTCTTACAGAGCAAATGTTGCAGGGAGAGGAGAGGGGTTGGTGCACTGCTGCTGGGAAATTCTGGAGCCTTCGGTGCTGAGCAGCTGATTGGCGGTTGGATCGGCCTCCCAGAATACCATCGATCAGTTCTAGGCGATGGGGATTGCCACCGCCGCCACTACTGTTGGCTGCCGCCTGTTTGCTGCTGATCGCCACAGCCCATTTGCCATTGGTGAATGGGTAGTGATAGGCAGCAGGGCAATGGCGATAGGTGGCTATTGGCAACGAAGGCTCCAATGTTCCCTGCCAGTGGTGGCAGAGTTCAGCTCAGTTGAACTGGTGGTGGGCACAATGGAGCAGAGCCTTGACAAATCACATGCTGGGACTTGTGATAATGTGCTGAAGCTGACTGGGCTGTTTGCAGTTTGCTGCAAGGATGCTAGCCAGATGAATACCAGATGGATGCCGGAAAGCAGGGGTAGATGTTTTTTTCTTGCTTTCCTCCTCTAAAGGTAATGTGTGTCTTATGGTCCGGAGCATCTTATAGACTGAAAAATACGGTAACTAATCCATCTTGTCTCCCTCAATCTTTGTAGAAGAAAGGAATTTGCCAATTCCCCTTTCAGTCAGAGTCCTGGTATTGTAGAAATATGCAGATTTAAAGTTCAGAGCAGCAGATGGAATTCACTTAGTTCTCCAACATTAGAATGTTTATTTGGTCTGAAACTGGATCAAAGTCCTTTTGTGTATCTTTATCCAAAATTCCATGCCCTAATATATTTTGCAGGATCATTATTGTTTCATCGAGCTTTTTAAAGACAAATTCATTGTTGAGCTGCATATGCAGCATTTTCAGAATCAACAAACAAGATTGATATGGTACTATATGGTATTAAGCTATTAGAGAATCTAGTTATTTGCTTTGGATATTGTAGAGCCTCCTCCCAGAAAATAACAAAACTAGTCATGGAAAGGATATGGAATGTCCCAGGCAATACTGCAGATCCTAGTCAAGCAATACTTACATGCTATGTCCTAGATAAAAGGAAGTGAACTTCCAATAATCTTTTCTGCTGTCTTCATCACACTCTGCACATTTTTCTTGTCCAAAGCAGTAATATCTCCAAGCCACACAGTAATACAACACAACAGGATGCTTTCAGTTATCCCTCTATAGAAAATGATAAGAAGAGGGGGAGGAAGATGTACTCTTCTCATACAATGGAGAAAATATAGGCACTGCTATACTCGCTTCACCAGTGTCTCACTGTCCAGTGACTAAGCTAATCTGGTCGTCAGCTGCACATCCAAAAACTTGATATTACTAACGACCTCCACAGTTGAATTGTTAATACACAGAGGTGTACGGCTATGCCTGCCTTTTCTGAAATCAGCAATGATCTCTTGTTTTTCTTACATTTAAAACCAGGCTATTTTTATTACACCAGTTCATCAAACCCTCTACCTCCTCCTGTAATTGCCCTCATAATCGTCCTGAATAAGGCACACCAGTGTTATATCATCTGCGTACCTGGTATATGGCTGGTAGCAAACCTTGCACAACAGTCAAGGGTCAGCGGGATGAATAATAGCAGACTTAGGACACAGCTGTAAAGAGAACCTGTGCTCAAGAACATGGTGTTAAAATTATTAGTCCCAACTCACACATACTGGGGCCTATCAGTGAGAAAATCAAGAATCCAGTTGCACAAAGGAGTTTTGAAGCCTAAAAGACCCAATTTATCTACTAAATGTTGAGGAATAATCAAATTAAATGCCAAACTAAAACCAACAAACAACATTCGCACATGAGTATTTCTTTCCTCTAAGTGCATCAAACTCAGATAGAGAACATAGGAAGTAACATCTTTAGCTGAATGGTTTGGATGACTGAAGTGAGTCAAACACTGGAAGGAAGCTGGATACAATAAAGTCCTTTATCAGCCTTCCAAAATATTTCATAATGATGGACATAATTGCAACTGAATGATAATCATCAAATGTGATTGAAAGACATTTTTGGCATTTGTAAAATAATGGCAGTTTTAAAATATGATGGAACACTGCCTGCTGCAATTGAAAATATTTGTAAGAACACAAACCAATTCATCTGCATACTTCCTAAGAACACGCCCAGGGATATTATCCAGGCCTGCTGATTTATGAATGTTAACTTTCCCAATGTCTTCTAGTCAGAGGTAACATCAAAGCTAATCATTTTCTCATCAGGATGGGATATTGCTTTCCTATTGGGTAATATTTGATGCCTCAAATCTTCCTAAAAAATTTGTTCAAATCATTTTTAAAAACTGTGTCATCCTTATAGCACAATGGAGCCAATTTATAGTCTGTAAAGGCCTGAATGCCTTGCCATATACACCTAATGTGTTTGTAGAGTCCTGAAAGAAGATCTGAACTTTCTGACTGCGCTTGCTTTACTGTTTTTATGGTATATTTCAAATTAGTTCTGGCTGTTCTGAGCACCAGCATATCACTGGATTTAAAAGCCGCATTCTGTGCTTTTGGGATCTTGCGAACCTCATTTTCGTCCATGGTTTTTCATTACCGTGCACCACAATGTTTCTAAGGACAGAGACATCCTCAATGTACTTCTGAATATATGCAAACACAGTAGTGGCATACACTTCTACATTAATATGTTGGTTAACTGTAGCAGCTTCTTTAAACATGCCCCAGTCTGTATACTCAAAGCAAATCTTGTAATGCTTCTATAGATCTCTCCATTCAAACTCTCACGTGCTTCACTATTAGCTTTTCCCATAAATAATAGAGGCTTAAATGTTGGGTCAAGCAGCACAGAGAGGTGGTCAAAAGAGCCAAAGTGAGGGCGGGGAATAGCTTTGAATGCATTCATGATATTGGAATAAGAAAGAACCAATGTATTCCATCTCTGATTGCAAAGTTCACATATTGATGGAAAGGGAGGGGGGGAGTTATTTTCAAACCAACCTGATTAAAATCCCTTACAACAATAAAAGCACCCTCCAAGTAAATAATTGACTGATGGTGTGATAGAGAACATTCAGGGCCTCATCTCGGTTTGCACAAGAAGTATACAATACAAAAAGAAGAAATATATATAAAAAAACAATTAGAATCCAACAAGGGGTTGAAATAAATCAGCATTCAACTGCTAATAAATTTTTAAAGCAAAAAACAAAACAATAAGTTCAAAAAGTGAAAGTTAATATTCAGACATGCTTAAGAAAATGAAACTGCTGACAAGAAGGTGTATACTTCATTGATAGACATTCATTGATCGCTTCCAGAAGGAACTGCAATTTTCAAGACCCCCCCCCCCCACCTTCCCAGCTGGGTTCATGATTGTCCAAAAGTCATCTTAGGTCATTCCTAAATGCTCCCATTTAAAACCAGGGAATAGCACTGCCAAAGAACCAGCTTTGGCAATAAAATCAGCAGATCATCGGTAAGAAAAAAAGAAGCCCTTACCATGCAGCAGCCATCTTGAGAGGAACCCCTGAAACTCTTTCTCCTTTAGTATATACAACTATTCCCTGGTAATTAATAAATATAATGTTTTAATTACATTGATACATTTGTAACAAACATTTGAATACACTTTAATTTCTTTTTTGTTTTTACGTGCATTGTTTTTTAATGTCTTTGTTATCTACTTTAGCATTTTATATTTCTTCCTGCCCACATCTACATTTTTGTGTGAGAGGAGATTCACTAGAATTTCACTTGTTTAGGTATATGTCAACTGGCAGCATGTTGTGGCAAAGAATCATCTATATTAAATTATATTAACATGTAATTCAGTCATTTCTAAGAAATACATTTTTCTGAAAAAATATTTTAATGAAGTGTTAGGTTTGTCTTCCAAGAATATGTTCAGACTTAGAATTCTAACTTTAGATGACAGAAGCTGGATAAATACAAGGCTTTATAGAGACATAAGAATAGGTTTGAACTGCAGTTTCCTAAGCAGCACAACTGTATCAGGTTGCAGTAGTGTGATATCTCTAATAATCTTTAGGCTGAAAAACAGTAATTAAAATCTCTTTGGACAGGTGTTGCTTCTCAATTTTTGTAACATGATAACTTCAATTTCAAATGTAGTTCAGCTGCTACCACTGAAGTACTAAGTAGGATTTACTGAAGAATAAAAGAGACAAAGTATAAAGTAGGAAGAAATACTGAGAATTAAGGAATGTGACAGTATTGCTGTCCAGGATATACTGTAGAAATGGATGTTTATTAAGGTGATGGTTATACATCTCATTCTTATTGTTGCTCTAAAATAGTCTACAAAGGTTTACCTTTTCATTGCTTCCTGCTGCTATAGAATTAAAAATGTCTATTTTTTTTTTTTTTTGCTTAAATGTTGATACTAAAGAATTAAGATCACCCCACATCTTGGTGATTTAGTATGAGGTCCATTAATTTGTTTTACACCTGTTTATATATTTCTTTCCTTCTATCTACTTCTGTATATTTTATTAATAGTTACTATTTTCGAAATAAAATAAAGTGAGGACAAGAGTAGAGAAAAGAAAGTATGTCATTAAAAAATACCAGAAAACTAAATATTTTTTTTGCTGAAACTCATTATTTTGGCTGTCTGGTTTGATTCAAATGATGATGGAATATTTGAACACAGAAATAATTGTACATTTATGTATATATTATGCAGGGCAACTCATCAGAGAACCAGGATTGGTGTTAGTTGGTTGTCTAATTGTATACGTGAAAACAGATTTATTGCTATCTCTGTCGAATTCTTATTTTAAATGTTACTTTTTCTGTCTTTCATTGAGATAAAATATTCTGTATTCTTCCATAGATCAGGATAATTGTACATATATAGAGCAATACTGTGGATTTGAATGTGATTGGTTGCTGCTTGCAGATAGAAATAATATTTTTTTTCTCATGTAGTTCTCCTAGTGTCTCCTTAAATGGTTCAAATGTTAACAGAATTTCAGTTTTCTGTGACCTTTATATAACACTTATATTATTTTTTAATTGTGTTCAGTTCATTTATAGTACTTGGTTTGTGTCTTGTAACAGGATTTAGATGTGAATTCAAAGCTCAGAGATTCCAAGATGTTCAGAATGAAAGTATCTAAGGCTGACATACTGAAATCTGAAAGATCATCATGTATAAGTTTCCTGTATGATAACAGTGTTGGACAATTTAATACAATTCCAATATATCTAAAGGATTCAAACAGTAGCCTAGAATATGTGAAGAATCCAAGCATGGTAATTCCTCCCATTACACAGAATTATTCCACCACACAATCCAGCATCAACAGGACCCCCACAATGGGGACAACATTAGCAAGCCATAATTACAGGTACAACATCAGAGTGAACTATCCGATTGGTATCAGTATCGCAGATTACTTTACACTTTAGACATTTCTATTTAGAAAATATATATCTTTGCATATTATCCGATGTTACTTAAGGACTAATTCACACATTATTTCCTAAGTATATAACTACAGTATACATTTTGAAATAGGATGATGATTCCTATGCAAAGTGAGAATTGCTCCAGCAGTATTTTTTCTTATGTTTAGGCCTCATAGTCAGTTTTTTTAAAAAACACCCAATTGTGCAGTGGTGGAACAAAAGACCTGTAACTGAATAGACATCACAGAGTGAAGGAAGGTTGAAGGAGGGAGAAAACTCTTACCTAGCTATAAGCAAATATTACCTCTTATAATCAGTATATAGCATGACAACTTCAATATTAATTCATGTTAGCAGTCTTCTATGCAAACATTGACTCAGTTGTAGATCTAATTAATTTCTGCAAAGTCTCAACATCTTCTGCCTGTAGATCAATCTGGGACAATTGTATTTTTCAATTATATAGTCGTGGATCTGGCTATTTAAGGATGACCATTCTCTGTTTATTTCTAGAATTGATGAAAAAACCAAAGTATATTTCAATCCTTGTATCAAGCAAGGGAAAAAATCACCAGCAGGTCAATACAATGTAAACTTAACAGCATCGGTAAGCTCTCTTCAAAAATTTTGAGCCTTCCTGACATTTGGCATTTATGAAATCACATCTTGTGGAAATTTAGGAAAGCATAGGATGAGCTTTACAGTTTAGCCATTTCTGTTTAGAAAATATACATATATTGGAAAGTGGGCAGAGGCAAGGGAAGCAAAGTTATCACTTCCACGTGCACCTAGCAAGTAGGGCCTTTCTCTTAACATTTTATCTCTCCTTGATATTTTGGTATCCTTTTGTTTAGTTAAAATATTCTACTATACTCATCAGCTAAAAATGTTCCCTGGGTGATTTAAATAAAATAAATAAAAATAAAGCAATCCTACCAGCAAACCTATAGTGAAACATTCACAGCACCAAGAGGGGAAAAAAAACACATAAGAAAGAAAGAAAGAAATTAAGCATTTTTTTCTTAAAATATGAAACATTTGTAAGGGGGGAAAAGAGAAGAGTTTCTTCAATCCTTTTCAGTTACAAATTTGTAATTAAAGCTTTTTTCTTTCTAAAGTGTGTGTGTGTGTGTGTGTGTGTGTGTGTGTGTGTAATGAAAAATAACAAAAATGATAATATTTTGTGTAATTTGGACAGGAACAATTATGAAGAAATGTATATGTGTATGTGTGTGTATGTGTATATGTGTGTATATCGATCGATCGATCGATCTGTTGATCGATCGATCTATCTATCTCAGTGGTGAGATTCAAATTTTGTTACTACTGGTTCTATGGGCATGGTGTGGCATGGCTTGGTGGGTGTGTCAGGGGAAGGATACTGTAAAATCTCCATTCCCTCCCTATCCCACTAACCTGCTTTCCAGCTCCGTTCTCCTGTGCAGGGGAACCAAAGAAGACCCAACCAATCAGCTGGGACTTGGGGGCAGAGAGTAGATGGGGGCAGGGCCAGTCAGAGGTGGTATTTGCTGGTTCTCTGAACTACTCAAAATTTCCACTACTGGTTGTCCAGAACTGGTCAGAACCTGCTGAATATCACCTCTGAGATATTTCACAATCAAGACAAAAAGAGCCACAAAACAGACAGAAGATATTAGAAACACCAATCAAGCAGAACACAGCAAACTCCAAGACCAATAAACACAGACCAAGACTCCCAACCAATCAGGATGAAGAAAAAACCATTCTGGCACAGCAGTAGGCTAGCCCCAAATTTAAAACTGAAACAACTGTAAAAGTCTAACTCACAGACGAACACAATACAGAAGCCTGATGATGGCAGATGAGATTCTGCTGAAACGTTGCTACAACTTTAAAAGCACAACTGTAATGACGTGGGAAAATACCCGAACAAAGCTGAATACCATACATGTAAGTACCCGCGAAAGAAGGGTACTTAAGAAAACAAATACACACACACACACATATTTCTTCATTATTGTTCCTGTCCAAATTACACAAAATATTACAATTTTTGTTATGTTTCATAACTCATTTAGCATCTGCTTTGAAAGCTTATCAAGATACAGGCACAAACAATTTGAATATTTAGGATATTTTATGCAAACAGGGAGAGACTTTAATTGTACCTGTATCTCCTACTATAGGATGCAACTCAAGCTTTCAATTTTCCTTAATAGAGAATAGCCTTCATTTAGCTGATTTAACGTAGGTATATCACCATAGCATCCTTTCCCAGCCAATAGTCTAACATATTTTCAATAGCTATCACTTCTTTCTGCAGATATTTGTAAATATTCTTTCCCCGCCCCCCAGCCCCACTCTCTCCATTATATTGCTTAAAGTTATTTGGGTGTTAAAGAGTGGGCTCGCTATTGATATAGGATATAGGATAGAATAAATATTTATTACTGCTTATATAATCTCTGCAAACAGTGTTTCAATTTGGACCTTTCTTTTTTTTTTTGCAAAACCTTCACATTTTATTTGCCTGGTAATAGATGCCAAAAGAGAACAATACTCTTCAATCCCTCAAGAAAAAATTGGAGTTTTCTAAAGCAGATGTCCATTTTCCGGAGCTTAATTACAGCCATCTCCCCGAACTCAAAGGTGTGGATGGTAAGGGTTTGTGTTTGGTTTTAGAATGGTTATGAATAATTTTTATATAATAAAGGTTTTACAAAGATTTTTTGTAAACTATAGAAACAGGAAAAAGTCATTGTGTGACCATATAAATCTATTTAATAAATAAAGGAAAGAAAAAATGAAGACTATCAAGAGAGTAAGAAAAAGAAAGATACCCAAAGAAGCAACTTCTGGTCATCTTTGTAAGCAGTTTGTAGCAGTTAGCATAACAATACATCTCCACCATCTCATATTGCATGTTATAGTTCCTTCCAGTAAACAAACCTTTTAAATCATCTGTTCATTTTTAATCATTTTCAGCAAAAAGTTTATAAAAGATGTCAGTCTTTTACATTTTATAGTTCAGAATTGATTGAATAATAACGTTCAAAGCTAAAACGTACAGCTCAATGTATCATTGTCATTTACATTTTTCTGAAACGTGAAAATTCAAAAATAGAAACATTGATGAAATTTTACCCTGCTCTATCTAAACTAGGAACATTAACAAAGTCAATAAGTTGATATGTTTTGTTTTTCTATAATGTTTTATTCAATTCATTTCTATGCGTGCAAATTCTGTATATCAGGGATCGCCAACCTTTTGGACCTCAGGGACCACCAAACTCATAATTTTAAATCCCGCAGACCACAGACCCTGGGGAAATCCCCAAAAAGGTCTGCAGGTTTATTTGCCACCCTGTTTTCCTACCCATCAATCATTCTTTATTTGGGATTGCAGGATACCGTCTCCAGCTCCGTGCTCGGGGGAGAGAGAGGGAGAGAGAGACTTTTGGCTTCATGCAAGGAAAGCAGCAGGAACAGCAGAAGTCTTTCTTTCTCTGCCCCAAACTCCACCAGAAATGAGTCTTTGTGAGACTTTTGCTGGCGCAGCTTCTTGGAGCAGGATGCCTTGAAGGGTCCCAAAGACTCATTTCTGGTGGAGTTTGTGGGAGAGAAAGAAAGACTTTTGCTGCTTTCCTTGCGTGCAGCCAAAAGCAGAAGAAAGAAGCAGAAAGAAGCAGCCTGGTGGCCAGGCGAGGTGTGTGGGGTGAGTGGGGCAAGTTTCCCCCCTCCGCCCTTTTCCCCCTCCCCTCACTATCTTATGTTGTTCACAAAGCAAGTGACGCAAGCCTGTGTTTCCATGCAGTCTGGATTGCTTTGGGTGGGTGCTTTGGGGGTGACATTGCGGACCACCAAAATTTTCACGCAGACCACCAGTGGTCCCTGGCCCACTGGTTGGCGACCACTGGGTGGTCCTAAAATTTATTATGCATATGCTTGTGCACAGATGTTCAGTCCATAATAAACATGCCTTCTGTCTTTGCTGCAGATGTGGAAGACTGTGATTGATGTTAGCCTGCCCATTCGTTTGGAATTATTTTAGTCCATACTAGCTTTTTAATTAAGGGAATGGAAAATATTCAAAATAAATATCTCTAAGTAAGCAAACTTGAAAAAAACTCTTTTAGAAGATATAGTGTAAATGTCCAGATTCTGTTAAGCTTTAACTATCTTCTTACCTATCCAGCATGACCGGATGTGATGATAATATGAACTGCAATCCAATAATCGTGGAAGGCCACATGTTGTCCACTGTATTATAAATCAGTGGCTAGCAATTAATAGTTGAATCAGTCAAATGAAAATAAAAAGCAGTTCATAGTCCTATGTAGCATTGTACATTTTAGGAAGTCTGGTAATTTTGTAAAGACTAACTTCTGTTAAACAAAAATCAAATGTTTCCTTCATAAATAGTTTGGAATTCCAGATTTCTAAAGAAAGAAAACAAAATTATTCCAGAGTCTCGCATGCCATCTCTTGCCACGATAGATCTTCAGAATCCAAACCTGGCTCTGCATCAGGTATTTGGTTCCTTTTATTTTGGGAGGGGTGGTGGTAAAAATGCATACACAACTTATGGCATTTGTTTTTCTTATTACTATTACCTATGAAGTATGTATCTTTCCAATATGCAGCCTTACTTTCCTTTAAAAAAATGCACAGTAGAAAAAATGCAAAGAAGAAAAAAAACTTGCTTTTCACCTTTGTATTGATTAGTAATTGTATTGAAAATAAAGCAGAGAATATCAAAATTATATTTTATACAGCTCAGTTAGAACACCATTATATCAATACTATCTCAGGAGAAATATGAGGGGGAATATTTAGAGAAAGATAAGATAAATATTGATGAAGTTAGACTTTGTAATGTATAAAGGATGAGTTAGAGGAATATAATAAAAATTCATAAAATTATTTCAATACGATCAAACATGGTAATAGATTCTAGTTATTGTTATTTCTTATTGATGTTTCTGCTAACACTAACTGCGGCCCAAACATTAGCATGCTTGAATTTCAGTTAAAATATACTTGATTTGCAGATATCTGGAAACTCCTTGCAAGATACCTCAGAAGCCAGCTTCCCCAAGGTAGAGCATCAATAACAATCAGAATTGGCAACTCTTATGTGATTCCCATTGATCACACATCTACAGCACTTTTACACCCTTATGGAGGTATTTTGGGGAGGGAGAGGAAGTTGCTAGTATTTTGCTATAGCTAAGCTAATGGCAGTAAAAGGAAAAATGATTTTATGTTAACTAGCACTATGGTACTAAGGCTGCTACTTCTTTTATAATGTCATGTGTGTGAAGAAAATAATCTACAATTAATCATTTCAGCTATCTTGAAAACTGATGTAATTTGGTAGAAAGTTGTGGGAAGAGATCTCTAACAGTTGAGGATTACAATTTAACCATTTAAATGAAAATCTCTCATTTCCTCAATGCTGATTCACATTTTCTATAGAAAAGCTGTCATTCATTAGAAGTCAGGCTTTTAAAGTCTTCTTTACTGGCTGTTCACATATTTTGGTAAATGACAAACATAGGTGGCAAACATGGGTATCCATGACGCCAAAACACGGCCACTTATGAAACAAATATCAAAATAATGCAACACAAACCCTTACAAACTTTCATTCACCATTGCAATATAAATATGAAAGGACAGATACCTTGACATATATTTCATAATTTTGGCATCATCATGGCTATTTGTACATGGCTGTGAAATTGTATATGACTTAGCACTTAGTATGAGGTCAAGCATGTACTTTAGACAGGAAAGATGGATTTTACAGCATTGTCTTACACTAATACAGGGGTGTCAAATTTATGGGCCGGATGTGTCATGCGCTGGCCATGCCCACCCAGTTTAGTGAAGGGGGGAAAAAGTTGCAATATGTCACGTGACAACGTGTTGTCACGAGTTTGACACCCTTGCACTAATAGGTATTTTACAAGCATCATTTTTTCACTTTTGATTTCAAACTCCTTGGTATTCAATTGCAAATTGAATTGAAATCATAAATCAGGGGAAGGCCATTGACTTGGTATCTTAACTTTCTTTTAAATATCTAATTCAGTCCTGTGAAAGCCAGAATTTGGGGCTAAAAAGCCTTAGCTCTGATCTAGTACGGGAGAGAGATGGTGGTCTAGAAATGCAAAATTAAAATAAAATAAATAAATAAAATATTTTGTAAATCCCTAAAGTAAAACAAAATTAGCATAAGTTTCCATTGAAATAAACCTACTGTGAATTCGTATCAGTGATACTATGGGTTGATTCTGACAGCCATAAGATTAGCATTTTATATGAGCCCTGCCAATTGTGGTTTATTCAAGAGAGCATAGTTATGTTAACTGTGACTGAACACAGTACGCAAACAGACCCAGTAATGATATTTTAGGAAAAAGAGAAAACAACGCTTTGATAAAAGATAAAACTATTGTTTAAAATTATTTTTATGCTTTTGGTTAAAATTCTATTACAGCTTATATTTGCAATATTTGTGACAAATACTTTCCTCTCATAATAAATTAACTTGGATGAATTAGAAAAAAACTAAGCATGATATGACCTGATTAGTACTTGCGTAAAAAATCATCAAGAAATTTCAAGTTTGTAGATCCTGGAAATTTGGAAAAATTAATCACCTGTCAAGCTCAGCGATGAAGTCACCGGGAGTCAAACTCAACTCAAGGGATACTTTTCTTTGTCTAAGCTTTCTATCAAGATTGATAAAATTATTGTATTCATAGCTCTATGTTTCTCTATTCATGTCCTAGTTTTCACTGAATTTATTTAGTGTATGGCTTCACTGAATTATCTTCATGTAGTTACAAGCATGCATTTAAGGAAAATCAGCACTCCTAAACATTATGTTTGGAAACTGGCTCTCTATAAACTAGCCTTTATCTCCCTTCCAACTCTGCTATTCTATTCTATTCCATTCCATTTATCTGGATCTCACTAAATCAAGGGTCCCCAACCACCAGTCTGCGGACCGGTACCGGTCCGTGGAACAAGTCCTACCGGGCCGCTGGTTTGCTGGGCGCCGCCATCTTTTTTTGATGAAAAAGTGCTTCCGGTGAGC